AGCAGCCTGGTGCCTGTCAGACTCCCTTTGGAGTGCTCAGGCCCTTTTAGACAAGGATACATAATGATTCAGTTACTTCAGCGTGCTGTCAACTGAGCCTTAATTGCTGTTTTACCTGTTCCTGTGCAGGAGAACATTGAGGTAGTCAGTTTTATATATATAAAAAAATTCAAATTGTGGAGACATCAAATCTAAATCCAAAGTACATGAACAGTCTTTGATATCTCTATTGTTACTGTCTGGAGGGGTGTTAACTTTTGAACAGGATAGTTATTTTCTGAGAAAAAATCTGCCTAGTGAGGCATCAAATGTATTTGTTATAAAAGAGAGGAATGAAGTTTGATGTGAGCCAACAAAGGGAATGATTTGTCTGTATTTTGTCTCTTAAAGTTTTATTTCTGAGAAAAACCTTGAGCAAGGGTTTAAGGTACCAAATCAGGAAGTTTAAGGGTGAACACCTTTACAAAATACACTCCTTTTGTCATGGCTGGCAGAAAGCTCTCCTGTCTGGTGTTTCATGCAGGGGACATCCAGACTTCTGCTTAGACCTGAGGAATATTATGAGCACGAGTTCTGTAAGGTAAAATACAGATGAGAAGGTTGCTGTACAGTGGTCAGTACTGACCTCTTTTTTCCGTGTCTGTATGATATTTTTAAAATGATTTCTGCAGGTATTATAACACCACCTAGAGCCCAGAAAGCACCTCTGTGCTCTGCTTCACCAGGAAAATGTGTGTGCTGTTGGAGGTGCTGAAATGCCTTTCACAAGGAGGAATCTGTGAGAGGCTCCAGAAAAGCCAGGGCACCGAGGCTCAGCTCAGGGCTGACCATTAATGAAACCACAGCTGCCTTTGGGCAGCCACCAGACTTTTGCTTTTTCACACCCAAAACTGTCACTGGCAGTCTGTGACAGCAACCCTCAATAATTCTCATTTCTGGCAGGTGCTGGCCATTCCCTCTGGTTTGGCACAGTGAAATGGTCATTTCTGACCAGCTCCAGGTGGAGGAACAGGAAGGGCTCAGGGGAGGTGCTGACTGTGCTCTTGGACATTTTGACAGGGGGTGGAAATATCAAACAGATAAAAACATGCATTATCTTGTTTCTAGTCTATGGCTTTTCCTTAATCCCTTGTTTACCTGTTCATCTAACAGATTATATTTTCTGATATTAAAATAGTATTTATTTATATTTTCTGATGGCTCATTTGGAAAGAAAGGGCTTTGGAAGGTAATTTTGAGTTACAGTGTGGGCAGTAACTGGTACAAATGTGGAGCTTTTCTTTCAGAATAAACTGTCTATGCTACAACAGTGTTTTCCCAATATTTAAACTTATGAGAAGGGATATTTTTCTTATTTCATTAAGAGGAAACTACCTAGAGGTATTCAGGTTCTAGCATTGTGTTGTTAATGGCAGATACAAAGTCCCCATTTGTGCTTGTACCTTAAACTGCTTGCTGCAGCTGTTAAACTTCAAAGGAATATTTTTTTATCAGTTCTCTCATTGACAGTTTTTATGGGGGAAAAAAAATTACTTCCTTGTTTACAATTCAGTTCAAGGACCTAAATGTAAAAGAATAATAATAGAAGGGACAGAAAATATGTATTAATGTTTTTTAATTGCTGGAAAGGCTCAGGGAACTCCACTTGTATCCAAAAACTGTCAGAGTAATTTAACATTTTAGAATCTCTTCTACAAACCCATTTTAGTTAATGAATTATCTCAATACATCAAAATTGCTAATATGTCCAGCAAATTGTTTCCTTTGGGGATCAGCAGTGTTAGTTCTACTTCCCAGTCTGATCTGCTTATTTTGAGTGGACGACATCAGTTCTTTCTTGGCGTCATTGTCTTGGGTGCCTTCCATCAGGTTTTTTCCCCAAGGAAGTCTTGCAGTTAACAAAAAAGGTGATTTAAGTTGTTGCCTGGTACCCTGGGCTGAAAGTTCTTTGGTATCAGGACTATTTGGGGCTTTTTTTCCCAACCATATTTTGAAGATGGAGTCAAAATATATGTAAAGAAATATTATATTCATTTTAGGATTTGACTAATGTTGTGAAGATACAAATCATTTATTTTACTACCTATAAACTGTTTCAGCCTACTGAAGAAAAAGCTGTGCTAATTTATATCGCTTTGACATTTTATAATTTTCATGATTTTTAGATAAAGGATTTTATATTTAAAACTTTAATAGTCTAGTCTGAGTTCATTTATCTTTAATTTTTGAAACGGGTAGAGTAATTCATAACAGTAATTTTATTCCTGTAATGTAATATTCACTTCAGTTCATTTGTGCATTAAAATTCCTTTAAGACCGTTATTAATGATTTATATAATGAAATGTCATATTAATCACAGAAGTTTTCACATTTTATTATTCTCTTCCATGTTAATACTATCTTTATGATCTCTATTAATGTTTTATATCCTCTAATTTCAATTATAAATCAAGAACATTTTCATGTTTTTGTTGGTATTTGCTTTTCAGGGGTGCCACCTTTAAAATTTTATGACTTTTCCCCCTACATATGCAGTATAAAACATCTTTATTCATATAAAGGTAGTTAATTATGTCTTTGTTTATAGTAAACTTTCATTGACAAACTTATAGTTGTAATATTTCTTTTCAAGCTCAGAGACTAGAACGTCTGCGGAAAGAGAGACAAAATCAAATAAAATGCAAAAACGTTCAGTGGAAAGACAGAAATACTTCTTGCTCAGGTAAAAGAAAATATCTCTTATTTTCCTACTGTTTTTATTCCTGCCTGTGATGGTTACAACATCTGCAGTTTGTAATTTTCCCCTGGGGTTTCCCAGCATGGAGGAAATGTCAATTCTTTGTGCTGTTCCAGGTGCCAGCCCTGGCCAGGGCGCTCAGGGGTTAACAGAGCAGAGCAGAGGAGAAGTGTTGGGCAGCCAGGTTGGGTTATGAGTTATGGGTTATGGGGTGGGCTCTGCACCCTGAGGCATTCCTGGCCCAAATCCATTCCCAGAAAGTCCCCAAATCCATTTCCAAAAAAATCCCCAATTTTATTCCCAAGAAATCCCCAAATCCGTTCCCAAAAAATTCCCAAGAAATCCCCAGATCCATTCCCAAGAAATCCCCAAATCCATTCCCAAAAATTCCCAAGAAATCCCCAGATCCATTCCCAAGAAGTCCCCAAATCCGTTCCCAAAAAATTCCCAAAAACTCCCCAGATCCATTCCCAAAAACTCCCCAGATCCATTCCCAAAAATTCCCAAGAAATCCCCAGATCCATTCCCAAGAGATCCCCAAATCAGGTCACTGTGTCTGTCCCCCCGGGGGCTCGCAGGGGCCCTGGTGGCACTGTGGGGACAGCAGTGGCTCTGCCCAGGTCTCTGCAGCACCAGGGTCTCCAGGGCACTTCCCAGCCACTCCCAGCAGTGTTTGGTGCCATGAAGGATTTTTTAGAGTTTACTTGTATTGAATGTTTTTGTAGCTACTTCTTTGGATAAGGTGCAAATCCCAAGAAATAAAGGGTATATGTGTGATCTGCTTAAATGCAAGCATAATAAATGCTGCCTTGGCTTATCTCGCCTTTCCTTGGTAAAACTATTATCACTGAATTCTCAAAAAATACTAAATTCTATTTTTGTTAATTATATAATTAAGTATTTGTGGCTGGATGTTCTACATAGTTTAAATTGTAATATATGAAATTACAAATCTGTCTCCATTTTCCTATTTTAGAGCTCAAGCTAGTTTCTATTTCTGTGGTGTTTGACAGACATTCAAACCTTTGTATGGTCTGTCATGCCTGCTTCTTTCAAAATTTGTGTATATCTTAATGAGGTCCCTCTGTAATCTCCCTTTTTTGCCTAATTCCTCCTCTCTCCGTGGCTGTCATTTGCAGAACGTTCTCCAGCACTCTGATGTCTTTTCAGAGGAGTGAACAAAGCTGCTCACACGAGCAGCACAGCCACACTAATCCTTAATTCAGTGTTCAGCTGTGTTGGATACCCCTGCTAATGCATTCTGAAATGTTTTTGCCTTTCTCCTTCTGTAAGCAGAGTTGTAGGTTTTAAAGGTTAATCTACCATAACCTCCACCTCTTTGCTGAGTATTTTATAGCACTTGGCTGATGATGATGCAGATCCTCCTGTGTCTCCTGCACTCTGAGGGTTCCTGTGCAGCCCCTGCTGCTCCTGGGGCTCTGTGCTCAATCCCCTTCCCCACAATGTGTCCCCAGCAGCCACACTTGTCCCCTCTGAGGAACGTGCAGGCAAATGGATCAGTCCCTGCCTGCTGCAGAGCAGATTTAAATAAAAATAAACAAGTTCCACAAAAGCTCCAGGCTCAGGGCTGCTGGCAGAGCTGGTTTTCCTCCTGTGCTTGGCCACTGAGATCTGAGTGCTTCTCCCTTACTGGCATGAGCAACACGGCAGCAAGGAGGAGGAGGAGCCCCTCAGGATGTTCTTTGTACCTTTGCATCTTTCATTCTGTACCTTTTCACCTTACAT